GTAATAGGCCTTGGGTTACTGCTGGTAATCCTGCCTTCCCCTTGTAGGGTTAGAGGAGGTCAGAACATGTGGCCTCCTTGCCGTTTTTGCATATATATATATATATATATAATCTCTGGTGGCGCAGTGCCTAAGGCACTTGACTGCTAACCAGAAGGCTGGCAGCTCAAGCCCACCAGTCACTCCTCGGAAAGAAAGTTGGGCGATCTTCTTCCCTAGTGATACTGCCTTGGAAACCCAAGGAGGGGTCGCTATGAGTTGGGTCCAACTCCAGGGCACATAAAACAACAACAACATATATATATATCCATTGTAAATCCTAACCCCACCTGTGGATGTAACCCCATTTGGTGATAGGGTTTTCTTTTACTTAGGACATGTCAACGGAGGGTATGTCTTAAACCAATCTCGTTTGAGATATAAGATGATCAGAAGCATCACTTGGGTTGGTGTCACCCAGGGCAGTAACTCACGGTATTGCCTCCCCCTCATGGACCTCCCACCATATAGAATCCTCATGTTTATTATAAATTTTAATAATAGAATAGTATGCCGTCAATAGAACTGTAAATGGTCTAAATGCAATCTCTTAGAGTGTATGAATACCAACAACAAAACTGTTTTGTAAATCTTCGTACATTGAGTTACAATATAATTAATTACAACATTATTAGGAACTGAGTGGAAGCCTTTTCCAATGTTTCTCCTTCTTTCCCTCTAATAGCTACTTCATTCTCAAAAAAGTTGTGGATGTGGAATGAAAAATACTAATTTCCACAATATAGTCACTAAAACACCAGAATATTTGACAAAGTCAGCCACTATAAAAACACTGGCAGCAATCAGAGAGATGGAAATCAAGACTACAGAGATATACCATCTTACTCCAGCAGTGATTTAAAAAATAAAATAAAATAAGACACTGATAAAAAAAAAAACCAGATAACAACAAGTGTTGGCAAGGATGTAGGCAGATTGGAACCCTTATGGCTTTGTTGTTGTTGTTAGGTGCCGTTGAGTCGTTTCCGACTCATAGCGACCCCATGCACAGAAGAATGAAACCTTATGGCTAGTGGGACTGTAAAATGGTACAACCATGATGGAAAACAGTTTGGCACTTCCTCAAAAAACTAGAAATAGAATTACCCTATGAACCGGCAACGCCACTTCTAGGTGTACACGTGGGAGACCTGAAGGTCGTGACACCAACAGACATATGCACACCTCTGTCCACTATTATTCACAATAGCAAATAAATGGAAACAACTTATTAATGGGAGGGATGGATAAGCAAACTGTGGAACATACATACTGTGGTATTTAAGGTTATGTGTCAACTTGGTGGGGCGTGGTTGTGTGGCTGGGCAGCTGGATGTAGTATTCCCCATGATGAGACTGGTAATCAACTCCATGGTGAAATCTACTGTGAGCAGCTGAGTAGCTGCCTTAGGGATGTGGTCTGCTTCCTGTGTGTGAGAAGCAACTTTGAGGAAGGTCTTTAGCTTTTGGCATGGTTGCTTCCTGCACATAGCCAAGTCATCATTCAGCAGCCTGCCATGTTGTCTGCCATACTTAGGACTGTTAATGGACTCGAATCAGTGGCCTGTTGTGTGGCTTGGTAATATTGGCACTGTGCCTTTTCACTTGTTAACCTTGAGTTTGTCAGCCTCAGCAGCCAGCAGCTACTGAGTGAAGAGACACCTCCAGCTTCAGTGGGCCAGAAGCAAGAAGCAGAGCTGAAGCCCAAGGTCGAGGGGCCTTCACCCAGCCCCTACAGCTTTGAACTCAGACTTCTAGCCTCCAAAACTGTAAATGGTCTAAATGCAATGCAGAATAAAACTGTTTGTTAAAGTCACCCGTTTGTGGTATTTTCTGTTAGAACAGCAGGAAATAACCAAACACATACATAAAACACCATGTTATGGAACCACAGAAAACAATGATGAGTCTGAGAAACATGGATGGTCCCAGAGGTGTAATGTGGAGCGAAACAAAGCAAGCATGTGAAGACAACTATTGTGTGAGTGTTCTTTTATAAGAAGACAAGAATAGATACATACGTGTACGGACACCAGTGTTCATTGGTGGTTACCAGGGGGAGGGGAGGAATGAGGTTAATGAGTTTTATACAGTAAAGACAGTTTTTGGTGATGGGAAAAGTGGCACCGAGTGTGGGTGTAGTAAGCACAGCACAACCAAAATAAAAACGAGTGTTTGAGCACAGGTAGTTGGGTACAAGCAATCTGGTATCCAGGTAGGTACAGGTGTGTATCTAGGTGTGTACAGAGGGGGTGAGAACAGACAGAAGTATATACAAAAA